GTTACAAGTGGAGCAGCAGAATTCCTCTCTGTGTGTGCTCTGGATTTGGTCCTGAGACAGCCTTTAAAGGGAAGCTTTGTGATACAGAAGGAAATGCAAGTAGTGAAACCCTGTGAGATGCTTACCAGAACCCTAAAGTTACAGTTTGGGGTTTAATTTCTTTTTTCAATTTATTTCAAGAGCACAGCAGTGTGGGCAGTGAACCCTTCATAAAGGTCTTGCATTTATTCCACTTCCCACGAGCAAACATCCCAGTGTCACTTAATATGACAACCTGAGGGTACAGTGTTATTTGCATATGGTGTATTTATATATATATTTGCATAGAGTATGTATTTGCAGGCACAATATTTCTGTGCATGTCTGTTATTCAAAAGGTAATAAAGATTATTTGTGTGCATCATTTACAGGAGTTGATGGTGAAGACTCAGGTGCCACAGCCATGCTGAGGCAAATAGATTTCAGCTTTTTCATGCAGCAGAATGTCCTTGCTGCAAAGGTCAGGAGTTGTGCAAATATCTGCTCCTGGGATGTAAACTACAGTTTAATTAGTGTGAGACAATGTATTTGTCTGTACACAGCTTTGAAATCACAGTTTAATTTCGTTTAGTTGCTCTTAGAGGGGGAGAAGACCAGTCTTCATTTGTATAAAAAATAAAAAAGGTAATGCTCATTTGTTTGTCACATCAGTGTTGGATCTTTGCTGCTCTTTACTCAGGTTGGCACCTAAATTAGGGGAAAATCGTCCAAGCAAAGCATAACTTTATCATCATAATGCTCGGGTAGGAGGAAACATACCTATGTCAGGTACATGCATTGAAAATTCAAGAACCACATCTAAGTATTGCATCTCTTCCAATAATTTTTGGGCAGTTGAGACTTGTTAGCTGTGGTTTATGAGCAGTGTTGATACTTTAAACCTAGTAAATGCCAATATACTTGTTCCTTAAGCATGAGTGCTGGTTAGAAAGCTTGAAAGATGCTGAGTTGGAGGTTGATTATTATTTTTTTTCACTCAAATGTGTTCTTTGTGTATATGAACAGTTTAATGTTACCAAAAGTAAACTGATGCAAAGATTTGGGAATTAAAAATGGTTAATATTTGTTTCTGTAGCTGTCTATTCTTACCAAAAAGAAGTTTAGAAGTTGTTTTAATTTCTGTTCATGTTCTGTTCAGTGATAACTTTAATATAATAGTGGTGTCTTCTGTTCATGTTCTATTCAAGTGATAACTTTAATATAATAGTGGTGTATTTAGGTTGAAGAATTCTCTTTAGGTCAAAAAAAAACATTTTAAAAAGGCTGGAACAAAATTAGTGTCTTAGGCACATTGTAGTGTTCAGACTCTCTTTAGGTCAAAAAAAAATTTAAAAAGGCTGGAACAAAATTTGTGTCTTAGGCACATTGTAGTGTTCAGAAACAGAAAATGAAAGAACAGCTCTCTCTGCTCTTACTCTGGAGTAGAAGCCAGAGCATGTTAAATTGTTGTACTCCAGGTAGAAATGAGCCTTATTTCTCTCCACTCCTATTTTTTTTTCCCCTTCCTAGATGAAATTCTGAAAAGGAGGACAACTGCTATCCACTGCAGAGTGTTACTGAATTCACTTTTGTTTGTATTTCTAGAAGGCAGTGCAAGCTTCCTGCTGCCACAGCTGGAGAGGAGTTCACAGCACTGCTGAGGAGAGTGTGCTTTGACACACAGCATGGCCAGGGTACAGCATGGATGGCTGTACAGGCAGGAAAGGTGTCTGGAGGGGAGACAGGACAAGGGGAAGTGGCTTTTAACTGAGAGATTTAAATTTGATAACAGGGAAGGAATTCTTCCCTGTGAGAGTGGTAAAGCACTGGCACAGGATGCCCAGAGAAGCTGTGGCTGCTCCATCCTTGGGAGTGTTCCAAGCCAGGTTGGATGGGGCTTGGAGCAACATGGACGGGTGGAAGGTGTCCCTGCCTATGCCAGGGGGTTGCTATGAGATAGTCTTTAAGGTTTCTTCCAACCCAAACCGTTCTGTGATCTGTGCTGGGGATTGAGATTGGATCAGTGCAGCCCTTGAAGTGTGTTTTTGGTAGGCAGGGAAACCTGGAGCAAGTTTTGGATCTCGCAGCTGCTTTACTCAATTGTGGTTCCTATGGTTATAGTTTGCTGTGGTTGAAAATGCACTGCTCAATGTGCTTTGCTTGGCTTTTTAGTAAAGGGCTTCTAACCAGTGGATCCTGGCTGCAGTGGCAGTGCAGGCCTTACTTGAAGGATTTGATTACTCCTATTATTATTACTATTTGTGTGCCAGTTGCTTAAATTACCTGGTTTTCACCCCTTGCCTAAGCTTGCTGCTAGCACGAGTGAAACAGATGAGGAACTGGAAAGCTGTTGGGTTATTTGCATTATTTAAAAGAAATAGAATCTGTTTGAGTAGTTCCTGAGGTCTTGGAACACGTTCAGTGTTGACCAAAGTCTCAACAACTTTCCAGTCCCTTCCTTAGAGTGGCAGGAGGGACCTCATCAGCAGGGCTGGCTCTCCTCCCACAGCTCCCTGCCTGCTTCCTGCTCTCCTCCCTTCCAGCTCTGGCTTTGCCCTCACCAGGGAACCATCCTGATGTGTAACAGGGAGTATGTGCACATAGGCTTTGGAGAAGTTGTGCTCCTTATGTCAGTGGCTGGCCAGAAAATGATTAACTCAGTAAATGCAGAGTGCTGTCACAGGCACAGATAAGGAGCAGAAGAGCTCAGGGCAAAGTGTCTCCACAGGAGAGCTTCAAGGCTAGTCCTTCTGGCATTCTAGCCTTCTCTGGGGAAATAGTGTGACACATTTCTGTGGGGTTTGTTGTCATTTTAGTTGAAGTTTCCATTTGAAAGCTGTGTCTTCATTCAAGCAGTGCAGCACTGCTGCAGCAGGAAGGGCAGCTTGGTGGTGGCTGGAAAGGCTTGGAAATAGCATCACAAGCAGAGCTGTGCAAAGCAGGAAAACTCTCAGATTGATGAATTGGGATTTCCCATGAATGGCTCTAGTTTCTGCCTTAGCTGGTTGTGTAAACAGCAAATAACTGTAAGTCTGGGCAGCAGTGGCAGCTTCAAGCAGTGAGGTTAATTGTGTATAATCATGCAGGGAGATGGTATCTGCCCTGTCTTTGAAGATTTCTTGACATGTTATCTTTTTTTCTTCTGGGTTTTTTTTTTTCAGTGGGTGGTTAGCAGGTTGCTTGACAGCTTTTACTTGTTGTCAGCTTTTAGTGTGGTTGCATCAATCTGAAAAATCTTTTCCATGTAACCAAACCACTTCTTTTTACGTATTTATTCTGAGTCAGACAGACAGAAATTGCTGTGTATGGGACTTGAAGGATGCTAAGTGTCTTCACTGTTCTGTGAAACAGGTAACAGCTTGACCTGATCTGCAGAACATTTATGCATCATAGTTTAAGGCTGAAGACTAGGTTGTCTGTGTTCACTCAGACACGGATGCAGATTGCAGTTTAAGATGAGTTGTAATGAAAAATCCAAATGCCAGTGGGGTTGAGACAGCTCAGGGACCTGATTACAACCTGTTGCATAGAGTTTATTATAAGCTGTCATAGTGAAATGAAATATTCAGGTATATCTGGCTTCATTAAGAAATCTTGGTACCATTTTACAGGAAACCAGTACCAAGAGAGGCTTATTAGATACTTGGACTTTCCTGTGACAGAGTAGAAATTCTCTGGGTCTTCTGTTGTCTGTATCATCTCTAAATGCAGATGCTACATGTGAGCAATTGGTGTTTTGTACTTTTTTTTTTAGACACATAATACCACTAAGTAACTTCTTGAAGTCTCTCTAGAAGTTGGCAGTAAAAGCTGGTGCAGCTGCAGAGCTCTGCAGCAGAAACCTTGGGGTTCTGTGTGCCAGTTGTAGACCTGCTTGGGTACAGCTTTCTGGGACAATCTGCTCTAATCTGATCTATGTAGAAAATCTGAGTTGTATTTATGAGCATTTAACAGCTCTGGACAAGCCTCAGCAACTGTTGCAATTAGTATTTGGTTCATTATGAATGACTTTCTGTGGATTTCTCCCCTCACACAGGCTGTGTGGCCACAGGAGCATAGATCTTTCTGGCATGTTGAAGGAGTTGAATCGACCATGATTAGTCAGAGTATTCAGAGCATAAACTGCTGTGTGATATGCCAGGCCAGGGGGAGAAGTTTCGAGTTGCTGAACTGAGAGGATGTTAGAGCTCGGATGAGGAGTGCAGGAGAGACAAAGAGACAAATTCCTGCAGGATATGTGAGGATCAGTCATCGAGGTGTTGGTTACTGCAAAACTCCTCTTTGTGCAAAGCATAATTTGAAGTGGAAGTGTTCTCTGAAAGGCAGTTTTGCTGTGCTCTGTCCCAGCAGCACTGGGGCCTGCAGACAATTGTGTGAGGATGGTGTGTCGGAGGCTGGCACAGCCATTCCCTGGGCAAGTGTGAATGCTCACTTGTCTCCTGTGCTCCTGCCAGCTCCAGTCCCAGTCAGCTCAGTTACCTTCCCTTGTTCTTTGTTATTTGTGCTAGGTTTGCTGCTGTGGGGAACCAGAAGCTCTTTTGAAAACTTTCATTGAAAGATACTTAGGAGCCTGATGTTTATCAGGAAACATTTTTGTCACATTCTGTTCCTGCTCTTAGTGTGTAGCCACAGAGCGTGGCTGGAAGCTTCTTGAAAGCTGCTTTTTCACTATTGTCCCCCCCCCCAAAAAATTGGCTGTGATTTCATGACATGGATGGAAGAAAGGGATCATTATACTTAAGAATGTTAGATGCTAAAAACTGATGAAGCAGCAGCTTGGAGTCTTTCTTTGTTTTAAAATACCTGTCTTGTTTGGTAGCAGCAGTAGTACTTCACTTTAGATAAGGAAATCCATTTGGTTCTGTGAGTGGAGTGTTCTTCCCTGGTCGCTGAAGTAAATCTTCATGCTGCTCTTGGTGAAATTATTTTGACTGTGTAAAGTTAACTATAGATCTCTCTTTTTTTTTTTATTGTCATTATAGAAAACCTAGAATAAACTCTCAGTTGGTGGCACAACAAGTTGCCCAGCAATATGCAACCCCACCACCACCTAAGAAGGAGAAGAAGGAGAAAGTGGAAAAACAAGACAAAGAAAAACCTGACAAAGAGAAGGAAATTAGTCCCAGTGTTACAAAGAAGAACACTAACAAGAAGACTAAGTAAGTTGGCAGGATGCACTGTTCCATGTGACGTGGTGTCAGCAGCACTGTGTGCTGGTTAGTTGTGCAGCCCAACTAACCTTGTGCTCTCCCTCTTCAATTCTTGCAGACCAAAGTCAGATATTGTGAAAGATCCTCCTAGTGAAGCAAACAGTATACAGTCTGGGAATACTACAACAAAGACCAGCGACTCAAATCACACTTCAAGGTAACTGGATGCTAAAGTTGAGCTTTGTCTGAGAACTGTGTTTAACAGCAAACACTTCTTTTTTTTGATGTATGAGCGCTCAAACACTCTGTTGGGGAGCACAGACTCAGGCATTGGAAATACTAATTCTGTTGTCCACTCAGGTTTTATTTTTCTGTTAAAATAATGGTGTTGTCAGTTGGGCAGCAAAGCTTTTGGCTGTGAAACAGTGGGGGGAAAAACATTAACCAGCAATGGTATCGAATTCTTATCACGGCTCGATAGCAGTAACAAAGGTTACTTTTATGCTTCCTTATCCCTCCTTCAGTCGCTGTAATTGTCAAGATAATTTTCCAAGTATACAGGAACTAAGTATACATGAACAGATTTGCTGGGATCTTGTTATCAACAAATGGCTGGTTTGATATTTGTGTAAGCTTGAAATGAGTGTATGGAGAGAGGTTTATTCCTCATCTTGCCTATATGGGTACTCCATTTCTTAAATCAAAAATTCAGCACAGAACAGTTTGTATATTATTGAACTCGAGAGCTACAAGAGGCAGAATTAACTGGGTGCTTTGCCTGTGTGGGCTGTGTAAGAATTGCATCTCTTGAAAATGAGCTGCAATAAGTGTTTTCTAGTGAAACCACATGAACTGGAGCACTATGAGTTAGCTGCAAACAGTTGTAAAGCACATGGGAAATATGGTTGGCACTGCTGTTGGCATTCAAGTTGCCAAGATGGGACTGCTGAAAGCTCTTGTCTTGGAAATTTTGAAAGAATAGCATGAAAATCTTGAACAAGAGTGAATATCCTTTCCACAGTAACCCACTGGAATGTGGTGAGGGCAGTGTGGAATTTGCTGTGCTACAAGACTGAGCTGTGTGCAGGGACTGCTGTTAACTCTGCCTCAGCACCCAAAGGTTGAAGTGTCCATTCCTGATCTGATTAGAGAAACAGAGCTTTAGTGCAATTTTTTTCTTGTCCTATTCTTCTTTAAATATTAGTTATTTTGAGGCTTGGGATGCAGGAGGCTTCATGCACTTGACTAATGACATAATATTAAATTGAGAGATTGCATCAAGTAATTGTTTTTACTTCTTGAAGGAGTCATTCAGTCTACTGCAGAGTCTTTTAGTCCCTGTTTTTGTGGCAAGCTTTTGTCATTCCTAATTAAGCCTTAATACTATCAGGTTTAGCTGGGTTATTTTTAAGGGATACCTCATCTCCTTCAGTTCTTAAACTGTCTTTTTTAAGTGTTTAGTTTTTTCTTGCAATTCACTGCCCTCGGGAGTGCTATCAAGAGTCTTTCAAAAGGGTATGATTTTTACACAGTTACAAATTTTCTATTCAGGACTTTTTCATGCCCAAATTGCTTAACTGTTATTCTGGGGCTTTTTTTTGATAAATTGCCCTTTAAGGCTCTCTGAATTTTTAAGAAATCCTGTTTGAACTTCTTGGATACCATGACTGTTACTGACAAAATATCTGAGTTTGTTCCATGTTCTCCTGTCACTTTGAGACTGAATGTTTGGGAGCATTTGGTCGTAAACCTTTTTCGCTATAAACGTGAAGCATCAGGGTGCTTAATTTTGCAAAAAACCACAGCATTATAGAATGTTAAGGGGTTGGAATGAAGCTTAGAGCTCATCCATCCCCAACCCCTGCCCTGGGCAGGAACACCTCTCACCAGAGCAGGTTGCTCAAGGCTTTAGCCAACCTGGCTGTGAACACTGCCAGGGTTGGGATGAACACTTCGAACACTGCCCTGAATGGGCCAATCCCATTGCCTTCTAGATGAAGCAAAAATTGTATGTCTGTGGTGAAGAGATTGTCTGGAGGTTTCCATCTGTGCTTAAACACCTCTTGGTACAGGGCAGACCCCTAAAACCACCTGCAGAAGTGGTCGGAGGGCTCAGCTCTAAAGCTGACAATGAGCATGTTTTGGAGTGGGACCATGGAGAAAATCCTGCACCTCAGCCCTGCTTCCCCTGCCACGTTACTTTGTCATGGGATTTAAAGATGCATGGGCAGTTGCACTTTTTTCTTTTCTCCCTTTTTTCCTTCTTTTGTCTCCCTAGCAGTGCTGGCTTTAAGAGCTGTGGCAGGAGCACATGTTCAACCCTGTAGAAAGGTGGAGGCAGCAAGGTCTGTTCCCGTAGCTGGGCCAGCATTTTTTGGCTCTTTCTGAGTACAGGAGAAAACACATGACCTAGGCAGATTACAGGAAGCACTGGGTTTCCTAGAGGAACTCGGGGCTTGGGGAGGGAAATACGTACACGTACTACGTTTCCGGGAACGCTGGCGGCTGTGCGTGGGGCAGCCGAGAGCTGATGGGAACCCCGAAACTTGCTGAGCTGGTTGGCCTTTCTTGTCACCCACAAACAAGGTGACATCATTTCATCTAGCCTGTGGTTATATGTAGAATTTGCCAGCCCCTGTGAGTGTGTGTACAGCACATACACATGGGTTTGGAGAGGTTAGACCCTAAACAGAGGGGTTGATGCAAGTTGGGAGGTTTTACTGCCTCTTCTCCCAGTCGTTTTGGGGGGTTTTTTTGTGTGTTTTCTATCTATTAGGAATGCTTTTCCTGTGGTACTTGTTAAAAATTGAAACAGCCTCCTAGGTTAGATGAGAAAATACTATTTTTGGTGCAGTAACTTCGTTCTGGGTGTAAGGAAGTTTGCAGAAATACAGTTGTTCTATTTTTGAAGCTCTACATCTGTCCTCAATGCACTTTTCTGTGCTGTGTAGTTCTAGAATACCACTTTGGTAGCTACTTCTTAAGGACTCCTTGTTACCTTACCCTGCCAGCCATTGGGTATGCATGGCACAGAGTAAATGAGCTCAATTCCCTCTTTTTCTGTTTTACTGCTCTGGCCTAGTGTGCTGCAAACGAGGAGGAGAAAAGGCAGAGTGGTTTAAAAGCTGGAGCTTGATCCCAGACTAAACCAACCTTCCCTCCATCCCTCAGAATAAGGCAGCTCTCAGCAAGCTACTTTTCACTGATGTATAAAGACTCTCCTTTTTAATTTCCCTATTGGGAATATTCTGCTGCTTAAGCCTGACCCTTAATTAGGAGCAAAGGCTGTAAATTACAGCAGTCGCTGCAGATGACTTGGAATTTGCTGGTAGCTGGAGGAGTGTCCAGGGTTTGTTGTATCAGAGCTTTGGACCAGCCCCTGAAATGTGCATGAATGTCAGCTTCCTAGAGTTCAGACCCTTATTAGCTACATTACTAATTGAGTGATAGCACAGCATGCAAATTACCGAGATAATCCCAAGCAATAAGTACCAGTGGGTTCCTTTCTGGTGGTTTTGATTTCTTTTTTTCTTTTCATTTTTCCCCTAACTAAAAGCTTTAGCTGCAAGAAATACCATTGGACACTCTGGGGTTTATTTACAATAGCCTTGATTCCAGGGGGAACATTTTGAGCTATTTTATCCATAGGCTGATTGGGCATCTGATTTGTATAAGCTCAGAGCAGTTGAAAGAGAAGCCAAGTTGTCCCAGTGCCTGTGTTGTTTGCAGCTGCAGAGTTCCTACATGGGAATGAAAGAGCCGTGGCCGAATGCTTTCATGTGGTTTTGTATTGCAGAGTCACAGCCTTGTCTCATAACATCAGGGCACATGATGAGATGGTGAATTTAGATAAGAGAACTCTTTCATCTGCCCCTTGGGGAGGAGATCCTTTGCTCTGTCTGGCTCCTGTCCGCTTGGCTCTGCTGTAGTGTCCTCTTTTCTGGCAGGGTTGGATTAGGGATAAGTCTACAACAGACACCCTGTGCAGAGCTGTGTGAGACAGGTTGTTCCTCTGGGGCTGAGCAGCCCTCACAGCTTGGCTGTCACCAGGAGCAGGTCAGACCTTCATCCTCCACTGTGCAGCACTTGCTGCTGCCGAGGTTCTCTCCCAGCTCCTGCCATCTGCGCAGGAGGGGAGGACAAGTCACACCAAGTTTGTTGGCAAATGCTTTTCCTCCTGAACCTTTTCCTTTCTCGTTTATTTTTATCCCTTTAATAAATGTTTTCTCATTTATTTCAGGCCCAGACTGAAAAATGTGGACAGAAGCACCGCACAGCAGCTGGCAGTCACAGTGGGAAATGTCACAGTAATTATCACAGACTTTAAAGAAAAGACTCGCTCTTCATCCACGTCGTCTTCTACAGTGACCTCCAGTGCAGGATCAGAACAGCAGAATCAGAGCAGCTCTGGCTCTGAGAGCACAGACAAGGGCTCGTCCCGGTCCTCCACGCCCAAGGGGGACATGTCGGCAGTCAACGACGAATCCTTCTGAAAATTGCACATGGAGTTGTGGAAACTATTGGATCAGGGTATGAAATTCAAACACTCCACCTGCCCATGCTGTTCAAATCCTGGAGAGCCTCTTCTGTGCTTGAACACAACTTTTTTTCTCGGACATCAACCTCTTACTGATGCCACCAGGATAATTTCTGCTTGCCGTGGGCATCTGGCCACCAAGGAATTTCTCACCCTAAACGATTACTCTTGACACTTTTATGTATTCCATTGTTTTATATGATTTTCCTAACAATCATTTATAATTGGATGTGCTCCTGAATCTACTTTTTTATAATATCTGCTGTGCACAATTTTCCATGAACATGACAACTTTTAGTTTTGGGGGTAGGGAGTGGGTGGGAAGGGAAGGGGGCTTTATTTATTGCATTCACAAACTCCATCCTCTTTCAACATATCCTTTTTAAGTTCAGTTCTTCTTCCAGTTATACTGTGTACTATCAGTTTTGATATAAATT